CTAAAACAGATAAAATAGAAACAAATTAAATAATAACAGCTCAACACCTCAGCTAACATATTAACATGAAAACAAATGAAACAAACAATAAAATAGAAAAATTGAATTCTTCAATGAGCTGCATTTGAAAGTGACAGCAAATGGTATTTCAATTATGAAATGTAACACTAAAAACAAAACATAAAAAAAAGGAAACCTTTTTAACAGAACCGGCAATGGAAACCCACTTTAAATTTAGAATAAATGCCATGTAAAAAAGAAAGACAATCCACTACTCTTTTCATTCTTTAACACGCAAAATGCCATATTGCTTAAGCATTTGATCCTAAATATGAAGCACTATGGTAGACTGGCATTACAGCCTTCTCTAGCAGAAATACGAGAGCAGTAATTAAATTCAACAAGAAATAAAGGCCAAGAAGTAGAACAGTTCACAGTGGCTACCACCAGATTACAGTAGCTCACTGAGCTCTGCTACTCACTGGTCACCCTTGCAGCCAAATTAATATCAAGGCCTTTGTTTCAAATTTTGTTTTTATTCAGTAATAGTTGTTATGTTCAAAAAACAATAACAGACAAAGAGCCTACACTACCTTTAAACACATTTAGAAAATGTTCAAATTCGAGGATGTAGGAATCCTTGTATCGTGTAGGGAACGAACGTTTGATGCACCCACTACCCACTCCGTTCACACCATGCATGTTGACCAGGGTCTGATGCTCATTCTTAGTTTCTAGCATACCTTTGGAACCAAAAATCTATAAATAAATCAAAATATAAAATCAAAAACAGTATTATTAAATTTAGTTGTACAATAGATCAGTTAATTTGTAAAATTCTCTGTGATTGTGCTTTAAATTTAGAGCATAGAAAGCCTCTAGCATTTGTATAATATACTGATGGGCCAAAACATCTATTTACAATTATGTTACCTCAAGTCTCTGGTCATATCCATAAAAAGCATTGCGATTAAGATCAACCTGAGCGATAGCACCGCTTGGAAACTTCATCATGATTCCAACCTGATCAACATCATTCAAGGCACCAATCTCAGGAATAAAAGAATGCGCTTGACAAATGATGGTAGAGGGCGCTTCTCCCATGATCCAACAGATCATATCCATATCATGCGTAGCGCAATCATGAAATATTCCACCTTCATAAAATATTTAATAACATTTTTTTGTGTTAAAGCTCCCCCCAAAAAATTCATTAATTTATTCAAAACCTCCGGAATGGAGGAGTAAAATAGTACCAACTTTACAATAACAAAACAATTGCATTAAATCAGACACCTGAAAGCTAAAGCGAAATCCAAACAATTTAAATAAAAGTAAGATAAATTAAAATCATGGACCATATTTAAAACTATGTGTTTGTGTGTGTATGCACTATGTTTGTGCATCCATGAGATATTTTTGAAAGACATGTATTAATGGTCATCAAAACCAAAATGGAAGAGGTTATTCGCACGGTACCGTGCGAATTAGGAATAAGAACTTATTCGTACGGT